CGCAATGTCCCAGGCCACACACACGCGCACACAGAAGAAAAAAACAACAACCAAACGAGTCATGTGTGCAGCGCAGAAGGCCAACGACGAAGGTGACTGCAAACAAAACAAAAAAAAAGACGAGGGGCAACAAACAACACAAAACAAACCATCAAGACAGCTTTAGTTCTTAAAAAGAACTAAACTCGTACGTTACACGCTGCAGTACAGTAGTTCCCGCAAGTGTGGCATAAATCATCGCCTTACTCGGCAAAAGCACATTTACCTCTTCGCTAGAACGCAGCTTCAGAGCCCTCTTCTTCTCGTCCTCGTCCTCCTCATCTTCCTGATGCTGCTGCTGCTGCTCAAACACTTCTCGAAGAAACGATTTTAACGAGGCTGCAGCGCAGCCCTCCGCATGGCCCGCCACTAGGCGACTTAGCTCCTCCACCGCTGCCACTGTGGCGCCGTCAAACCTTGCAAAGAAGCTCCGTGCCATTTCCTCTGCGGCCTCAAAGCTCAGCGGTGGAACGTAAATAAGTGTTTCAAAGCGGCCTTGCCGCAAGAGAGCACTGTCAAGCGTCTCGGGAGCATTAGTGGTGGCAATCACCAGGACGCGGTTATTGTCAAGCAGACCATCCAACTCGCAGAGAAGCGCTGCCAGCATTCGTTTTGCCACGTTAAGGCCGTCCCCAGTGCCACTATCCGAAAAAGCGCCGCGTGACGTCCCGACGACGTCGACATCGTCAAGCACAAGCACGGACGGCGCATACTGCCGCGCTTTTAAAAAGGCCTCCCGCAGCCGTTCTTCACTTTCGCCGAGGTATTTGGAAAACAGAGCGGCGCAGCTAACAATGAAACACCTACCAGGATAGGACGCTAAAAACCTGCTCGCCAACGCTGTTTTGCCGCTGCCCGAAGGTCCGTGAAGAAGAATTCCAGTAGTGGGTGCAAGGGCAGCGAGCAACTTGGGACCCACAAGCTTTTCACGCTCCATGGAGAGTTGCACAAGCGTTTCCACCCGCTCTACTACAACGTCGAGCCCATAGAGCTTTCCATAAGCAGAAGATGCCGATGGTGGCACAGTCGAGGCACGACCAAAAAAGTGCAGCGCCGAAGAAGTTGTAGTCCGTGATTCATGACTTGTGAATTGTTCATGGCACAACACTAACGTAAGCTCCCTCTGTGTCCTCAAGCAGGAAACCAACGCATCACCGCTCTCCCCTGTCACACACGACAAAAGATTATCGGCAGCTGGGAAGACACGGATGAGGCGACGGGCAGCACTCGACGTGAGCTCCTGTAGTTTGTATGTGAAAGGGGTCCAAATTTCCAGGATCCACTGAGGTACATGATGCGTGTCAGTTGCAGAAGTCACCAATACGCAACGTGGCGAGCGGAGCAGTCGACGCACCATCGCCTCAAGACGGTGCGAGGACTCCTGCAAACGAAGAAGATAATCAATCGCCTCGATGTCATCCAGTAGCACAATGGTGCCTGCTGGGTACGTCTCGCTCGTCAATGATGCGCAGGTGTCCGCACACCGCAGTGCGTTGTAGTCCACATGAAAAATCTGCGCTTTTGCAACACTCCATTCGGTCGTTGCCGAACTTAGTTCATCCTCCACGGGGGGTACGCCGTGCAGAACGCTCATTCCGTAGGCGGCAGCGCCGTCGCGAACAGCGTGGAGATTAACCGTTTTGCCCGAGCCTGCTGGCCCGCAGACAAGAAAGAAAAAAGGGATGGGTCTCGCCTCTGAGAGAACTCGGCGTAAGTCCGTGAGAATGCGACCATCGACGGACATTATAGCTACACAAGTTCTTGAAAAATCAGAAAAGAGAATATATTTGTGTGTGAGTGTGTAAGGCAAAGCGGAAAACGAGCACACCCCACAAATAAAAGTGGGAGTAATAGTGGCAACAGCAATAACAGCCGAAGCGTGGACTAAGACGGAAAGGCAACACCCAACCTGCGCAACCGCAGAGCCGCAACAGCTCACATACGCACAGTGAGGGATATATATATGAGAGAGAGGGAAAGTAACGTCGCAAGGTAAGATGCGGAGGGTCGTCAATCTTCCTCCTCGGCATCAAACTCCTCACTGGTGAGAACACCATAGCGGTGCAAGACACGCTCCACGGAGTCCACTGAGATCTGCCTATCCTTTGCTCTCCAAGGTGTGAGCTCCGTCAGTTGTTGCTGTAACTTTTTTCCGTTGTAAAGCAGCACGCAGGGAAGGTGCCGCTCTGGAAAGTTTTTTATTGCCTCAGTTGATATCATTGAAATAAACTTCACGCTCCGATGACGCTGCGCCAGCACACGCATGACAGACAGCAGGGCCTCGCAGTCCCCATTTCCCGGCTTGATTAGCAGCACAACAACCCAATGAGCCGCAGAGGCCTCTGTCACCTCGGTCATGTAGTCCGAACCTGGTACGTGACGGAGAAGACCAAATCGTTGCGACTCCTGTTCTTTTCGCAGTTCCGCCATGCGTTTCCTGCGGAGTGCCAGAAGTGCCTCATCATCATCGTCAAGAATGTTGTCTGCTATCGTGTCTTCCGTGTTGGACTCACCCAGCTGGAGCTCCGTGTCGTACCCGCAACGCTCCAGTTTGTCACGCACGCGTTCCTCATTGGGATCATACGCCTTGAGGCACGCGTTGATGTTTTTGTCTGCAATCTTTTGCGCAAGTATCTCGAGCTCATTGGTGGCGTACTTCCCGACCTTGTTGCCGTGGCTGTACTGAATGTCTTCCCACTCTGTGGTGCGTATCCGCTGATCCGCCGTCCTCTCCGCCATCTTTGCAGCAGCCACGCCTCTGCCACGCCTTCCTTTGACGCTACATGCATTCGTTTTCATCGTCATTGTTAAGCGGGAGCGCCATGGCAACCCGGAGGAGGGTGGAGGGGGGGACAGAAATAAAGACAAGGGGAAGAGGAACGAAAAAGATACGCCAGCAAATATATACATCTCCCTCACGCTGGAGAGCCAGAAAAAACGCAACACATCGAACGATTTCCGACGTTGACGAGGACAACAACACCAAAAAGCAACCTCATTGGCATTGCACGGCCGGGGGACAACAGTTCACCATGTACATTTCCTCCAACTAAAAAAAAAGGAGGTCAAAAACAATACTAATAAGAATAAATAGGCATACAGCAAAAAACAAAACAATAAAAAAACAAGAATACCTCCTCTAACATGTTGCTGGTCCAAACTTGCTGACGTTGTGTAAACCCGGGACATGTGTGTCACCGGCCACCAACGTGTACGTGTTTTGTGTTGAGGACCATACAGGAATGGGTCCAGGAAAGCGGCTCCGCGCCCCGCGCACAGGTGGCAGCTCTGCCTTGTAAACCTGGTTCGGACAGTGTGCCGGGCGACGATTGCAAATAGATACATGACAGTGTGGACCGTAAAAATGTTTTTTTTGAATGACGCCCACCGTACCGTCTCCTTTAACGGCGAACCACAGCCTTTCGACCTCATCCAGCTCCTTTTTGGTAGGGTTCCGTCCCTTGTACGCGCGAAACGCCTTAGTGTATGCCTCTATTGCGCATTGTGTCGGCACATCGTCTCCAACTTCCCGCTCAATAGATGATTTCGTCGCGGCCTCTGCATAGCGATGCACAAAATCCTTTTCCCTCCCTACCAACTCATTGCGATCGCGTGCATCGCGAAAAGGTTCTGAGCGCGGTAGTGCCCCTTCAAACTTCGGATGATATTTTTTAAAGTAAGTGGTGGAAACAGCCTGCAGCTCCCGCTCTCGTGTTGCCTCTTCCTCAGAAATGTACCTCTGCACCGTCGACTCGTCTTGGCTCTGCTGTTTCTTCACAGAGTGCGAGACGGTTGCAGCAAACGTACACGACGGCAGGTTCGGCGCCTCCACTGTTACCCCCTTCTTTGGCAGTGTTTTGCCGTGGCGGGTCAACTGCACGACAGAGTCCAGCAGGTCCACCCGACACTTCTCCTGCAGCGTGGAGAAGTCGATGGCCTCAACAATTGTTACCATTCGTCCGCTCCTGATCTGGCAGCCGTGGAGCACTACAACAAACACTGGAAAAAAGAGAGAGAAATGGGAGGGGGGGGAGAAATGCTCCCGCTCAGACAGCGCCCCGTCGCGTGGGCACAACGCGGCCGCGAAGGTGCAGCGAACAAGAACAAGAACGACAAAAAAAAAGGAGGCTCAGCACACGTAACCACTCGGCAGTCTTATTTCCGCTTTTGAGAAGTTCTCAGAGCAAAGCGAGGTAACAAACAAAAAAAAAGTTTAAAAAGAAAAGAGAATAAAAGCACTCCCGAAAGCTTCTCTGCTCAATGCAAGAAGAAAGAAGCTGCACGAGAAACGATGGAAAATAATAACAATAATACTGCTGGCTAATCAACAATATCAACAGTAACAAATAAAACGAGATCGCAGTACAAGTAAAAAGCGTTTCACTAAATGCATTTAACTGCGCGGTGCTTGGCAGAAGTGGCAGCGGAACGAAACCCGTTCACGCACCACAGAAGAGAGCTGAGCAAAGTTAACAGGGAACTCCAAAGACAACTCAATTCAAATCCGGCGACCCTAGCCTCAGCCGCTGCGGTGAGGAGGTCGCACACGCCCTGAAAAAGAGTAATGAGTTGCTTTCGTCGGCTGCCAGGGAGACGACTATGCCGAATGTCAAAAAGCGAGAGCCCGACGGCGGCCAGACAGGCCAAGAAGAGACCCAAACGAGATATATAAGCGGCTTGTTGAAAAAGCGGTGTGCTCCCATATAATTTACGTCCAATGAAAGCTACATTGTCAGCCAACTTAAAGACGCCCTCAGCAAGGACGTGGATAAGAAAAATAACGTCACGCACGCCAGGCTGTTCCTTGTTGAGCAAATAATTGAAGGTCCGAAGGTTGGAAAGCCATGAGAACATACGAATGAAGGATCCCACCTCCGATGCGGTATCAGCAAAGTTAAGGTAAGATTTATCCCGCACCAGACACCAAAATAGTTTGGCGACAGCAACAGCACTCCTCAACATCTTGTCCTGCACATGCGCCGATCTCACAAATACGAACTCCACCTGCATGATGCAGACTTTTTTTTGGCTTATTTTATCCTCTTATCCCCTTCTTTATATGTGCGCAAATATACTGCTCTATTTATCAACGAAAACAGTTGCGCACTGCTCTCCTCTTGAGGTCTTCTTTAAGTAGCATTCCCACACACACACACAACATGTGTGTGCGCAGTAGGAACAGGGTGAAGGAGGATAAAAAAAAAAAACGCAGGTTTAGCTGCTAACAAACAGGGCGAGAATAACAAAGACAACGACAGCGACACAACAAAACAGCAACAAGGGTGGGAAAGAGGGTAAATAATAAGGGAAAAACAAACCACGTGGACCACACAAACCTCACACTTCTCTGTACTGTTTTTTTTCTTTTTTGGTTTTGATGTATTTGCATGTGTGTATTCGTGCTTCCCCCTTCCACGTATTTAGTTCATGGCTCCAATCCCCTTAGAGAATCATCTCGTCCAAAAGTGGACGCCGTGTGGTGGGGAGGAGCAAGAACCACCAAGAAAAAAAAAAAAAAACATACACAAGTTGCCCTCTTATTTGACAACTGCACAAAATGGGGGCAATCCGCTGAGGAAACCAAACAAAAAGAACTCTAATAAACAGTCAGGCTGTAAACTCATTTGTTTCTCTGTCGGCGGGCCTCCTCCTTTGTTGTTAACAGATCTTTGTTTTTAGAATCCAGGCGCAGACCCTGCTCGCATGTTTGCAGAGCCTCATCAAACTTCTTCATAGCGAGTTCCGTGGCCGCCTTGCGGAAGTATCCCTTTGGCCAGTCAGCAGACAAGGAGATGCAGCGAAGAGAATCCCAGTATGCCCCATTGTAGTAACGCTGGTTAAAATAGGCCGCCGCCCGGTTGCTGAAGAAAACAGCATTATTATTATCCATGTGAATCGCCAGGGTGTAAAACTTGGCCGCCTTGACGTTCTCGCCTGCTTCAAATACCTTATTTCCCTGAGCCTTGAAGCGTGCAGCCTCTTCCTTCCGCCTTTCCGCACCGAGCATAGGTTTCAGCAGCTCCTTGAGAGCGCTATCATTCTTCGCCTTCTCAGCCAAGGCGACCGGGGTCTCGCCACTTTTATTCGCAGCCTGGGGATTGGCGCCAAAAGCCAAAAGAAGCTTCACGCATTCAGTATTCGCATGTTCCACAGCGATATGAAGTGGCGTTGATTGATCCTCCTCAATCGTTACCTGCGCATCTGCTCCATGTTCCAGGAGGAACTCCACCGCCTCAACCTTCTTCATGAATAACGCTGTAAAAAGAGCTGTTCCACCATGGGCGTCCTTGACATCAATTGGAACCTTGAGTCCATAAATCATTTCTCCAATGCAGTCAATATTTCCAGAGTGGGCAGCCCAATGGAGTAGTGTGCCTGTTTGACAATTGTCATGCATAACATCGGCACCAAGTTCCACCAAGCAGCGTACAGTGTCCACATAACCCATCGATGCCGCAAAGTGGGCAGCGGTGCCACCTGTAGGCGTTCTGAGGTTTACGTCAGCGCCCGCTTCCACCAATAGCTTGATAGCAGCATTCTGATGACCTTTCGCAGCCATGATCAACGGAGTATTGTTATCATAGTTCTTAAGTTCCAAGTCTGGCTTAAACTCAAGCAGCATACAAATCATGTCGAGATCACCATTAAATGCGGCGAAGTGAAGGGCCGAAAATCCACCTGCCTCTACGGAGTTGATCAGAGTGGGCTTTTCCTTTAAAAGCTGGGCACATTTGAGAGTATCCTTTGCCCGTGCGGCACGAAGGAATACTTCAACATCCTCATGAATCCGCGTTCCGTTATCCATTTTGCTCCAAGCAGCACACTCTAATCAAGCACTTTATTTGTTGGCTAATGAAGGAAGTAAGTTGGAAAAAGAAAGAAAGAAAAACCACAACAACAACAACAAAAACCATCAACGCTCTGTGGCGCAGAAACAGCAAGCACACAGTTACACGCGCACGCACACACATCAGTGCATAGGCGGGGAGATGCTGACGCTGCCGCGCACACACAAATCACGTGTGACAACAAGAAGAAAAATACCAGAATATAAAACAAACAAAGGGTCAAACCACAGAGAAGGACTCATGTTTATATCGATGATTCAAACAAACATGTCTTTTTTCCCCCCAGTTGTTTGACTTTGGCTATTTTTTTTACTTCTGTTATTGCTTTCTTTCTCCCATTTGGAATTATTTTTCCTTCGTTCGTGTTCAAATTTGTATCTTCATTGCCATTTGTTCCTCTTAATACTCGCCGGATTCATAAATTCTATCAATCAAACCGTCTGCATAAACGAAGAGAAGCAAACGTACAAGCACCACTACGAGCATCCCTCCATTCAAGACGGACAAACGTGATAATGATGTTAAAGAAGGTGCAAAAAGATAGTAACAAAAAAGAAGCAATTGAAATTTATTGATTTCATCTCCCACATACACAGACACATAGGAAGATACATATATAGGAATGGGGGGGGGGGGGGAGAGAGAGAGAAAGATGACTCAGTCATTCAAGCAGTGTATGCCTCAGTATCTGGATAGCTTCGCGTAAACAAGTCCAGGGTATTGCTGTCGCCACCCGCATATAAAACGTTGCCTTGAGCATTCCAAGCGATCGCATTATACCGTGGGCTCATACGTCCTCCGTCCGCCCTGCATGTTGGCATTGCGTTGTTGGCAAAATTGATGAGGTGAATGCCCGTCATTGTTGAGGCGGCGCACACCATGTTTGGGTTTACAGAAAGACTTAGCACTGCGCTATCCAATTCCCTTGTGACCACGCCTTGGCCCATCATGCGAAGGTCATGCCCCACTACGCGCCGGTCTAATCCACTGGTAAAGAGGTAGTCACCGCAGCTTCCAATAGAGGTAACAGTGCTATAGTGACGATATGCTGAAGGTGTCGTGGTAGCCTGGGGCATGCGAAGATCATATACCATCACTGAACAGTCACGTGATCCAGTAACAAGAATGTGCTCCCTGTCTGGGATAACATGAACAGCAGATATGATGTCATTGTGATCTGTATATTCCTGTATCATTTGGGTTCCATCGTATAATAATACTGAATTGGCAGAAGCCGTAGTAACTCCACAGCAATACCTCAGAGTTCCTGTTCCTTTTAAGCTTCGAACCGCCGTAATAAAACGGGCTCCGCGCGGCTCTGCTCCTCCACTCTCCTGCCAATTGGACTCTTCATTGTATGTAGGGTCTGTAGAATATATAACGACTGCAGGTGCCACAGCAGCGTGTCTTCCCACTGTGCCCACAATGAGAATCCGTCCAGAGTTTGCAAAGTCCATGGAAGAGGCATAATGACGCGAAAGCACGAGATTCTCAGTAAGGACTCCGGATTGATCCCACGTTCCGATGGTTCCATCCACAGAAGAGGTGACTACCGCCTCACGAGAATTGGTGCCGCCTCCATACGCCAAGGCCAGGATGGCGGAAATGTGATGAGCCCCTGAAAGACGAACTGCAAAATTAATAAACTTTTCAGATTGGCTCCACCCAAAAGGTTCCATAATGTATTCAACATCATACAAAAATGTGTCATCTTGCTGAGCAAAAGCCACCGTTGAGCGCAGTGTTTCAAGGGTGTGTTGATCTAATCGATCAAGAAGCAGCTCATGGGCCACCTCCACCATTTTTCCCAAGCAGGTTATACCGGCACTTCGGGTATTGTCTAGACGAATCATCTGCATCAGGGCAACCACTACGCTTCGGACGTTTAGCATCTCTGCCTTGGTAAGCGCAGCCAGGACCTCCGCATAAGGTAACAATGGGACCCGACTACAATCAAGCCGGCGGTGACGCGAAAGAAAAATCATTATGCGTTGAACAATATCAGCTTTAACGGCGTTTTGTTTATTCCCTGGGAGCTGTGCTAATAAGGTAATGAACCCATCAAGTGGATCCCCGCGCTCCACGCGCTGTGAATCAAACATCGCCTCACAAAGGACATCTAGGCAGTCCTCGTAGAGGGAAGGATGGCAGAGTCTATCAGTAAGTTCCGGGATTATTGACTCAAAACTGCGCTTCACTAGCGCAGCGTTCACCAAGCGCGCAAGTGCCTCCTTGTTCGTAACAAATTCTACTGTTACGCCCTCCGGAAAGGACTTTAGCACGTGCTTAATGTGGTCAATGTTTTGAAGATCCGGCTCCTGCAACTCAACGTCCAGCCTAATACGCATTTCCCCTCGGCTGTGCTTTACTAAATCTATATAAACCTCTCTGTGGTCACCGGTATTGGCTTCTTCCTTTTAGCTTGTAGCTCGTATTATCAGCTACGACGTGCGCGTCTCGCTCCTATCCTCCAAACTTAATCTACTCTTGTTTCTGGCTTTTTATTTTATTTCCTCTGCTCTTTTTTTTGTTTTCCCGCCCACTAACACCAATCGTTTTACCTTTCATCATAGACCATCAGCGTGCAAAACGGAGGCCAGTGGAAAACAAAACAAAAAAGCCAATCAGACCACCACACAACGTGCCTCTCCCCCCCACCCCACCCCACCCCACTCCAAGCGGTAGCACGACAGCAGCAGTGGGTAATGAAAAGTGTTCAGGACCCACGCATAAATCAGTGCCTCTTCCCCGTTTATTCGCTCGCTATTATGTTTTCTTTTTTTTTCTCTCATTCCTTCGGCTCATCTACGTTTTGCAGAGAAGATGTAAGACACCTTAGCACCCCCCCAAACAGCGTGTTCGTTTCCCCACACGCAACGCGATCTGTGGAGCAAATCGCCAACGAATACGTGGGAGACCGTAGGCCTCCGTCAGGTCGCCAGTACACATTACCCTCCAGAAATCCCTCGAGAGAGCTATGGCTCCGACTGTTACATCCGACGGAACGGAGCTCTCGTTGTGATACCTCTTGGCCAAATCTCGAATGACATTCAGCGTCATCAGGCCCCGCAATGGCTTAACCCACTCCAGGCACTTGGGGTCCCTCGTCGAATATAGGAGGGTCACCCACCGTGCCTCAGTTTCTGTGAATGAGGGCTCGAGTGGTACAAAAAGTGGAAACTGCAGAAACTTACTAATAGCATTGGAGAAACTAACTACCCCGTCAGGGTACGAGCCGGGATTTGCCTTCAAGTATCGTGATAAGATATCCCGTTCTGCCATGCAGTCACGAGCATAGCGATCCTCAGTGTTGTAAAAGTAGCATTGCTCTTCGTGCACCGTGCAGTCATACTGTCGCATGGGCACCTTTGCGCCGGAGAGAAATGGTCCTTCAACGCAAAGGCGCACCTCCGAAGAGGACTTGGGCGCCCAAACCCCGAAGAGTCGACTGCCATCCATGTACTCAACAACGTCAGGAGTATCATCGGCGTTGTCGTAATACCGCGATGTGGCATCCTTGCAGCGAGGATAAGGTGGATGAAACTTCAGTAAAGCCGCATGCGCTTTAAGCGACAAACACCAACTCCGCTGCATCTCGTTATCACGCATAATCATTGCTGTGTTTTCCTTGTTGGACTGCACGAGTGGCTCACCAGAGCGAATATCGCTAACAAGTAGAATGTCATATACGGAGCCATACAAGCGCGATAAGCGAAGACACAGCTCATCCGTGCAGTACCCCTCCACCAATTCTAAAACAGGCCCTTCTGCGTCCTTTGCGACCTCTCGCACCTTTGCACAAAAAGGGGCAGGGTCAATGAGAACAAATTTCACCTTCTCAAAGAGCCCAAAAAGAAATGGAAGGTGTGAGCCGTTGGCCGCACCAGCGTACACCACTAGCAACGCTTTGTCGGAGGCCCTTGGTGCTTCCAAGTATGCCGAGAGAAACTCAATCTCTGAGAGGAGCAACTTGCGCTGCCCAAAATGAAGTCCCTTCACTATCGTGCTCTCCAAAGTTGCTGAGTGCGACGGCACGTACGCACGCCGCGGAAAGTCATCCGTGAGCAGCCTAAATGACGAGAATTTCATGCAGCTCCTCTTATAACGACCAGCGCCCCCACACCCACGTGCAGAAGGAAACCAAAGACAGGGAAAAGGAGGAGCAAAAAAAAAAAGAGACGCATAATAAAACAAAATAAAAGATGAGGATTGCAACACAAATCAAACATCAAAATGACCCAAACCATATTTCTTTTTTTTTGTCTTCTATTGCCGTAGAAAAAAAAAGGAGGAGGATCCTTCGCGGCCTCGCATACATATATACACCTACAACTTGGTGCTTGCACCCCTCTACATGACTGATGCAGTGAAAGTTCCACCCACAGCTGTTGCACGAGTCGGCATACGCCCTTCTCTAATTGATTCTCTCTTTCTCTCCCTCCCTCTCTCCCTCTCTTTCCGGTTCATTGTGTTTGTTTATTGTTCTCTTCGTTCTTCGCACTCACCAACCCACACATGTGATTGCCCAGAGAAAGAGAGAAAAAAAAAAGTGGGGGTTAACGCTGGTCGTCGTACACAAAAACGTGCGAACGGCTCAATTTGTGCATTGCGAACTCCACCGCATTGAGTTCCTTCCCTAGAGTCTCGTGTTGGGCCTTTTGCGAGGGAGTTTGAAGTTTACTGAATCCCCTTGATTGATACTCTGAATTCAGCGCATCCCACCGTCGCTGTAGCCCTTGTCGCAGCTGTTCAAGCTCCTCCGCCGAAAGCTCAGACCATCGCTCCTCCGCCTCTCGCTGCGCAGCCTTAAGTCTCTCTACCAAGGCATGACGTTCCTCAATTTCCGCCTTGACCTCACTCAAGTAGGCCGGCACCTTCCCAAAATCATCACGATCCACCGCACGATTCACCGGAGGCGGAATACATTTGGTCGGTATGGCAAGGACACTTTCTACGGCATTCGCCACCACATAATTTTTGTCGGTTTTCATGCCCATGACAGGTTTGTCGTACCTACTGGGAATATCGGCCTTCAACTTTGCGACATCCTTTGCACTCTTAAGGAATCGTGTCTTGTTTACGGTCGGAACTCCCCGACTAGCGGTGAGGGGGCCTTCATTTTTCTTGAGAAAGTCTGCAGGGTTGACCGTGGAGCCCGTATCGCGCCCAAAGATCCCTAGAGGTTTCTTTGCAGAATGAATAGAGGGCTCCGTGACCTCGCCACCCATATTCGCCACAACAGCACTCGTTCCATTAATGCCAAACGTCGACGCGGTCGGTGGAGCGGCCCTGTTTCCGCTGAACTTGGACTTGTGTCGTGGTTGTGGGGGAGGCACCTCCTCTTCAGGCTCGATAAGGTTGAACACACTCTCGCCTGACATTTCCTTCCTTCTTTTCGTTTCCAGAAAATAAAAGTGGTGGAAAAAGAAAAGAGCATAATACATAAGAACATGTGGGAGTTTCAAATGTGGGTGCGCCTCAGCCATCCCCACCCCACACAGAGAAACATTAAGTGTGAGGGGGTTGGTGGACTTTCACTCGAGCGCATCACGCTTCAGCGGTCCGTCGTTGCTGTTCTTCGGTTGCCTTCTCATTCTCTCTCACGGCTTCGGAGGCTGAGAAATATGTGAGACGTCTTCCGGCGCCCGCGGAGGAGGGGGTGGACGCTCCGCTCGTGGAACGCGAATACGCATCGTCCTGTTTGGCATGTATGCCTTCCTGAGCATCCACCAATGCGCCTTCATAAGATACCCCATAAGAACTGGAACGACGGCACAAAAACTCAGAATTGAGATCTCAAACGAGTTTGCGTCGTGAGCAAGGGCCGAAAGTGACCCAGCGTGTTTCTTGTCGTAAAAGACAGTGCAGCGCTCACCCACGCGGAGCACAGGGATTGCCTGAAGATATTGAGACTCGGTAATGGTGTCATTGTAAAACTGCTTCATCCAGTTCCTGTAGGGAGATCCGGTTGTCGCCCTCGTCGATACGTACTTTTTACCGTCAACTTCGTATTCGTAACGCACGGCATACCGAGGAACACTGATGTACCGGTAATTTAGTTTCCGAAGCTCCAGCAGCTTTCCAGCGGTCATGCCCCACTTCGCGTTCGCTTGATAGGCAGTCAAGGCGTCATAGTAGCACTGTGTGTTGACGTACACAAGATACGCACATAAAATAGCCGGGACACGCAATTCCAGTGCAAGATCCCACACCCACTGAGGCTGTTGTCTGCCTGTAAAAAACTTGTACACACGACCTGACATGTATGTATGCCTATTACCCTAATCGATACAATGAACCACCTTGCTAACCTTTTTTTTTCTTCTTCGTTTCGTTTTTTGCGCTTGCAACATACTTATATTTCCCACCCAACACCACGGCAAAAAAAAAGAGAAATTAATACACCTACGTTCACTCATTACAATGGGGTGCTCCTCCCTATTCAACAGCTACGAGATGCGATAGATCATGTTGATTCGGAAATTAAGAGCCAAAAAAAAGATCGGCATGCATTGCATTAAACGAGGTACAAAGCATGCAACCCAGAGCAATGGATCCATCTGTACTATGTGACTCCTGAAGTGGACATTTGTCAGGTCCCGGACATGGTATTAGTTCGGGTTCGGTAGTTTCCCAACGCTTATCGCATCGGTTGCACAAATATCTATTGCCAAAAGACAAGTGTGTGGCTGGGTTGCAGCAATACTTGCACTTATAAAGAACGTAATCGTGTTTGTGATTTGGACAGAGAAAGTCATCATTGCAATCAGAGCATATCAACTCGCTGGGTTTCTTGACTGGCTCCGCATTGTTGGAGCGGAAGCAACGGCGCTCACCACCGTAAAAAGGTTTTCCACATCGGCAACAAATGTAGTACAGTAAGTCCTCCACCATTTTGTATTTCATCTCTCGAAGTCGAACCTCGGCATCCCCATCAATTTCTCGGCGCAAAAATCCCATGTATTCTGAGAGAGGGAAGGCAGCATGACGAATTTGCATGCCGCACCCCCCTGGGCAAACGGCGTACGTGAAAACTACGTGTTCGCCTCTGGCGCGAAAATCATCTGCCCGAGCGGAAAAGTCGATAACGCAGTCACGGTGAAAGCGGTGACCACAGTCCAGTGTGATGCCGCCGCCGTCCTCAAATTCGCATAAGCAAATCAAACACAAATCCTCCGGTTGCGCCAAAGGCACGTCAAGTAGCTTTGGTGTTCCTCCCTGAAATTTCCTCCCAGTTACCGCGGTATCCTGCGCATACAAGCGCAATGTACCTCCTTTCTCAATCGTAAGAAGAGCACCTGCGTCAGCTGTAATGAAGGGCGTCCTGATTGTGTAGGTGAAGATGTTCTTCCAAACCGCGCCATTTTCATTCACGCAGACAATTTGATTTGAATTCACAAGAACAGCAACGTAGCGGCCATAGCGACCCAAAATCTGAAAGTATTTTCCCGTCACATTTACTCTACTAAGGCACTGGTTGAAGTGATATGCATAGAGCTCCTTCTTTCCGGCAACAAAAACAAACCCTTGATCCGCCACTTCTACATCGGAGGCTTTACGCTGGAGCGCCCAGGTCTCAAACTCCTCAGCGAGAGGGTCAAAGACGTACATGCAGTCCCTCCCACAACAGTACACCTTCTGACGGTGGACAAGAACCTTGTGGACGGGGCCGGGAGGCGCATAGTCCGTGCACCCGAGCGACACCCTCCAGCGTCGCAAAACATGAGTTGTGTCACGTGCAACAAAATAAAACTCATCCGCGCTGAAGCATGTCACAACGGCCCCAGGCGGAATCAGGCACTCAACGTTGCGACAAATCAATTCGCCGTTCTCCTGACTCACCCGGTACAGGGTGCCAGCGTCAAAAATGAAAGCATCGAACATTTTCCCTTATTTTTTATTTGTGTCTCCAAAAAAGTGTGCGGAACACACTTTTTCAAAATAAGTGAACAGAGGCAGCGAGTGAGCAACGCACACAGAGACAGAAAGATAAAAGGAGTGACGAGAAACATAATACTAGCCAGTGCGAAGGAGACGAATGCTACACGTTACACGATGCTGCCCAAGACCGTCAAGAGAGAGAGAAAAAAAAATAATAAAATAAAAAATAAATAATAATAATAATACAGAGATAGATAGCAAAACAAAACAAAAATAAAAGAACGGAATGAATCATGGCCGAGAAGATGTCATTTCTCAAGGGGGAGGAGAAGGAAGAGGGAGGGGAAGAAGGCACGAAACATAACATGGCGGGAGGGGTGGGGGGGTGGGGCAAGAAAAAATACCACCACCACATTATTGACGACCATTTTGTTTGTCCGCACGTTCACGCATCTCCCGCAGGCGTTCAGCTGTTACCGTAAATATTTTGAGATCCATTTTCTTTTTGGTATCCTCATCCAACGACTCCCGAGCCACGCCATCTTGAAACGTCTGAACGCGACGCGAGCTCGCACGAGCCCGGCGCCATTCTTCAACAAAAATACGTTTCACTTGACTTTCATACTCGGCATCATTGCCCCACCAAGGGAGCATCGTGTCTGTCGTCACGTGCTCCATGGTCTCAGGTCGCCTCTTCTTTTGCATCTTCGCGCGCATCAGCCCCTCCACGTACACGTACACCACCAGGAAAATACACAACGCGAAGACAAAAAGTATGGAGGATTCAAGACGGATTTGCTTCACTATCTCAGTGTTTTTCATCACCTCAGTGGCTGTGCGAGAGGCCAATCCAGCCACATCTGAGCGGTCTTGCACCTTATTTTTTGCCGTAATAATTTCAATATCTTCGGCACTTACATCTACCATGCGTATGGCTTTTTCATTCCCAGACGTGCCTTGTCCCAGTTCGAAGGCGGATTCGTTTTTCCAGGTGATTTTTCTCTCTCAACTCTCGCCATGATATCCTCAGCTGCTACACCGGCGCCATCTAGTTCCTCTACGTTCTTGGAAGGATCCTCAAGGTACAACGGCCTTTCAGTACCATCGGTGAGGATCATCTTACTCTCCACCCTGATGCTGCCACCCTCAAGCATTCCCAATCGAACAGTACGGAGGCCGCCCTCCTCCATCATGTCTTCAATGTCCTCAAGAAGAAGCATCGCCTCATCGTCGTTGGCAGCTATGCGATCCACTAAGCCTTCACCAAGGCGCGTCGTAATTTCTTCAAGCTTCTGAATGTGGTCTGTTAAGGTGGAAATTGGTATAAAACTCTTTATTTGGGCACGGGCCTCCAAATAATTACGTGCCTCATGATCGTCCACCTGAAAATTACCCAGGTTCACGATCTTGTTCTCGACAGTCTCCACCCCGTAGTCCTTCATGACGTCCTGGTAGGCTAGACTCACCCGCAAAAAGTCTTCCGCGTTGCCACCGGCATCAGGATGTGTTCTTCGGCAGGCGAGAAGATACTTCAACTTGGTCAGGGCAAGCGGCAGTCCGGGCTTGCACTCCAGAAGGCGATAGCGTAACGGGTAACTTTCATACTCCTTGTGCCTCGCTTCCGCCTCAGCAAGACGCTTTTCTTCAGCCTCTAGTTCTTTGTAGTTTTTCGACAGCTCGGCGGCCCCTGTGACGCGTTGAATTGATGCAGCGCATAGAAGGCACGACCTAAAACGTAGCATTGTGATGGGGCAAATATAATTCCCTCCACCTGATGTGTTTTTATTTTTATCAACGCTTCAGACGCAAGTTAAAAACAAAATGGACTTGCAGATGTGTACGTACACAGGCCTGTTTGTAGCAATGGGGAGCAGCAACCAAAAGCAAACAAACACGGTTCCTTTTTGTTTGTGTTGGTGAAGTGCACGTCCAAAAATGAAATCCAAACACAAAAAGTATCAAGGAAGCATGTAACAATTTCAAAAGGAAAAACAAAAGAATATTGTTATTACTACTTTACTTCTTCTCTAACGGCAAACATATACCTGTGGAAGTAACACGAGATCCATTTCCACAAGTACGGAAGTAATGAAAAACCTTTTTTTTGTTGTTGTTCAGTAGAAGCTTCAGACATCAACCCGCAGACTACAAGATCATTTATAAAGATCCTCTCCAACCGGCACACACACACACACACACGTCTACAACCAGTGGTCAGCTAACAAAGACAAAAGAAAAAAAAAGACAAGCAAAAACAAAAGTTACCGACCAAGAAGCAAGGCCCCCCCCCCGTCACACTTCCCCAGATACACACACACACACACACACTTGCATTGCCTCTCTCTATCCCCATACATATGTGCCGTAAGGAACGGAACTACAAGGCTTCCAAAGTCCACCTAACCTCGTCTAACAACGCAACAATACTTTTGCTAGTCTCTTCCCCCAGCATATTGTCAGTGCGCATTGGGGTCGTAATGTACATTTAATCCAGGTTGTGGCATCCGTCTTCGCCCTTGGGTATGCTGCCACATTGCTTCCTGCGGGTCATAAACGCCATAATACGCCCCTGGAGACGAACTTCCGGAAATGGCAGCCCGAGAAGCCAGACCTCTACTATCCATATCTGCATGAATTCTGCCCTGATAGCGAACGCCACTACGAATGTCCCACTCCATGGCACGAACAGACTTCACACCAGACTCCGCCCCCAGGTCTTTAAAGCGTTGTCCAGCAATAAGAGCCAAAGGCATCAATAAAACACCAAAGATCAAATACCAATACCGTGAAGAACAACTAGACGTATTTCCCTTGTAAGTGAGAGTCGGGGGCTTTTCTTGGACATACACTTGCACTCCCCCCACCGTCATAGTGGTAATGTACTCCGGGAAAAGCAACGAAGCGTGACGAACGTGATTCATAAGTTCTATAAAAAGCAGGTTTCTGTTCGACGATATCACCGTCACGTGCGCAACATACCCGTCAACAGAATTCCTAACAGCGTCCAATGCTATAAGAGCACAATCGGGCATTGAAAAAATTAGGCAGAGGTGCTGGGTCAAGCTCTCCCCAGGGTCTGTACGCATAGTAAGCACAAGTGTGAGGTTGTCAAAGCCGAAGCCCGCGGCTCCCACGTCCATCTTCTCCTCAGCATAACCGCAGCTGTCCTTAAAGCTAATGTCAGATGGCTGTGTTTCCAGATTCTCCAAAGACAACTTGTTCAAGTTGGAAACAAGAGTGCCGTCAGGCGCGGTTGACCAACCGTTAAAGGTGGCGTTCAACGCTTGCGTAGACTTTTCGACCTCCTCCTGGCTTCCCTGCAACCAGGCTCGGACAACAATAACGACATCGGGAGGGACCGTGAAAGAATCGACTTTGACATCCTTCCTTTTAATAGCATCGTCAAAATAGGTTGCAGCCTTATCATTAAAGGAAGATCCCATGGTAACGTTTCCCACACCGCGAAGAGATACCTCCCGCGAGAACATAAAAGCTATCGAATCAGCGCACTCCCCACAAACGGCAAAGAACACGACCATCAGAAGCCATGTAGGAACTACCTGCATTGTTGCTGGTCACTCAGTTCGCCACGACACCCTTCTTAAAGTGTAAAGAAGAACAACAACAATAAACAACAGCACATGTGTCTCATGTGCTGAACAAAATATCAGAGCCCCCAGTCAAGTATAACACAGCAAAGCACAACTTCTATTCCCAAGTCAGTTTCAGTGATCACACTCAGCCCTTCCTCTTCCTCTTCTCAAACGAATATTTTGCAGCACCTCGCGACTCGGCAAAAACAACAACAATAACAAGAAGAACAAAAAAAGAGGGACATCAAACCTCTTGCATCACTGCTTATATATATATATATATAAAGAAAGAAAGAAAGATTCAGAACAAGGTTCCATCCAGAGGTTTTTCTAGACGACAATTAATTTTTGTGACAAGGTCCTCAATCAACACCGCATCGTCAGCAAGAAAAGGAAGAAGAACACATCTTCTGAGGACTCCTTCAATGCGATGTATTGCCTCAAGCTCACACTTTAGCTCCCGCGCCGACAAATTAGATTGCCTCAACGCATGCCTAGTCTCATAAAATAATCTTTTTTTTAGTCGTTCCAATAAGTCGGAAGAGGCTGGCACTGAAACCTGTGAGAGGGTCAAAACCTCCATGTATTCAAGGGCTGTCACACACTCCATGGCATTCATGCTTTTGGCAGTAACGTAAAGCTGCGCAAACAGGGATTCGCAAAGGAGAAAATCATTGTCATTATCATACTTGGGTTGTTCGGCCTCATCCATGCAAGGTGATGAGGTGGCTATAATCGAAAGAAGAAACAGGCACTCTCCCTTTCCAAGACTTCCTATGCGATAATCCTCACAGAGAAGTTGGTAAAGTCTACGGCGCAATCGGGGAACCAGCTCTTCGCACTCCAAGGTATGTAGTATGACGGAGGTTGGGACCGCAGTCAACTCCTCTACTTCACACACCACAAGGCGCTTCATAATTTCCGCACAGATAACAAACGGCTTGTCATAGAGTGTATTTTGCAGTAATGGAAATATCAAGAGACAGTCACCAGCTGTCAATTCGGGCAGCATATCATGAAGACGTCGGAGACAAGCCCTAAAGAGACGACCCCCCTCGACCGGCCTTCTACACAACAAGGACTCTTTATCACCGAGAACGTCAAGGATCCACTGAATGGCCCTGAGTCCAATCACCTTGCTGTACATCACATGAGATCGAAGACGAGTAAGGAGCGCCACAGTAATGTTTTCATTTCGCCAAGCAGCGTCCTGTTGAAACGAAGTCGAAAGCAGCATTTCTAAAAACATTAAAGTCCCAATGGGGTCTAACTGAAGCACTAAATCTGAGGAAAAAATAATGGGACTCTCCTCTGCCGAAATTCTCGTCTGGGAATCACCTACAAAAAAAGAATACAACGTCACGACACTCTTGTGGACGTCCCTATTAGAGATACCCAATTCGGCAGCAGAGGTGGAGGGACTTGAGGAACAACGTACAGAAGCTTTCAAACGCATCAAAGATGACCACTTCCCTAAAAGAACCTGCTCGCTCCTTGTCATGCTAGGTCCCATTGCATTCAAGGCCCCTGAGGCGGCGTTGTCGAGTTTGTCTATGATGGTACCTGATCGAAGGAGCACTCCTAAAACGGAAAGAGCTTTAGATGGTGTTGTACAGTCCCAGTAACGACTATCAATCAGTCGATGATGGTGCTGAGATGCCAAGAGTCGGTCTGCAGCTGTCTGTGAAGCATTCCAGGAACGCCCAAGAAGACAACGGGAAAACATTCCTGCATTCTTGAGAAAGGTGACATGCGTGTGTGTGTGTGTGTTTCAGTATATACACAGACGCATATGCAAGCGTCCAAAATGAGAGAAACAGGACCAAAAGACAAGAGAAATAAAAAAAAAAGTAATAAACTGTGGCAAGGATAAAAAACAGATGCATCAAGGAGAAATGCGTCCATATTACACAACTACTACATCCAACAGTAAGAAAAAAAAAAAAACATAAAACAATAAAGGGAAAAAAAAGCACAAAGGCAGGCGAATTAGACTACCCTACTTCTTCGGCTGGCTCTTCGGTACAGGGACGCGCTCCTGGGGTTGGGTCATGAAGAGCTGCACATGGCACGGACTGCACATGTACGGCGTGATACGACCGTGGGCACGGTACGTGCGGCGGCGCATACGGGCGGCCTCATCCACCTGCACGTGCTTAATGACCATCTTGTTGGGGTCAAGACCTTTCTCGATGGCGTTTGCCTCAGCATTCTTCAGCAGTGAGAGCATCGCGACAACCGACTTGCGTGGCCAACGTCCCTTTGTCTGTCCCCACTCCTTTGCCTGAGCGGTACGACCAATCTTGCCATTGTAGCGCTTGAAGGGAATGCAACGGGTCTTGGCAAGAACCTGGCGGTAGAGCTGCTGGGCCTTGCGAAGAGGCATGCCGTTGATCACATTAGCCGTCTCAAACGTGTTCTTGAAGTGGCAACGCAGATCACTCACCTTCGCCTTGGCGCTCTTCGAGCTCACCTGAGGCTTCCTTGAGTAGTGAACCATGTCTACAACTCTGCCTTCCTTTTTGTTTGTGGGTGTCAAAGAATAAATAAAAATATCAAATAAATAAGTTCAAAAACAAAAACACAATATATATATATATATATCATTTGGTTTCTTTCATCACGTTTCAAAGCCACTCCCCTCACCTTTTTTTGCTCAGGACTCCTTTTATATCTTCCTTGACGTGTTGAAGAACCAAAATGGAAAAAAAAAAACGAAAACCGTCACCTCTCCGCACCGTCAAGTGTGTCATTGCGTCACCTCTGACGCCGCGGGTCCTCGTGACGACGGGCAGAGAAGCTAGCCGCCTTCTCCTCACGTTTTTTAATGTTTTTATCTCTTTTAGCGCACAGTGTAGACGCCATTGTGGAAAGAGAAACAACCACAGTCCCGTTCTCCTTTCGCACGATAAAGAAATTGCTCTGCGATGCGGCAAACTGCGCTAAACCCCCAAAAGGAACCAGTGCCTCTTGAATGTCCTCGGGGATGGACGAAGCCCATTTATTTATTGGCGTCCACGGTTTCTCACTCGGAAAAAGTTCCAGGAGTTTTGCCACCAACTGTGGCTCGTTTAAGGAGTTACGGTAGCCACCTTGTGAAAAGTTTTGCGGGGGCCTATCCCGAGATGGGCGACCATCGCGAGGGCCACCGAAGCGTTGTTGTTGTTCGCGTTGTGGATATCGCCCTCCGCCACTACCCGATTGCGACCTCGCTAAAGCAGCAATATTAATTAATTTATGTAATCGAAGGGATCGCATTGCGCCTCCTTTCTATCCTTACCTTGTTCACAAATGAGTAGAAGTAGAGATAAGGTTAAACATAAATTTCCCTACCAATTACGCCAGAGCAGCAGATCCTCTCAAACCAACACCGTCACAGAAAGAAAGAATCAGACCAGGTGGTGCGTCTATTTAAAGCTCTCCGCAGCCACGCAAAACACCATGTATTGTACCCTTCTCAAATGAACAACTATATAGATGATTGGACAAATTTCACAATCCGTGTTCCGTGAACTTCGGTGACGGCTAAATCTCTGACAATTCTGTCAACATTGGAGGTCGTCACCCCACCCCCAGGCATAATAGATATTCTATTTTTTGCATATGCAACCATATTTTTCAGGCGATGCATATTTTGTTCAATAGTGGTACCTGCAGCTCCACCATGGGTTAGAATACGATGAAATCCGTACGCTGCTAAGACATCAATGGCGTCAAATTGCTTTTCGACGGGAATTTCATCAAAAGCCATGTGAAACGTCAGAGACATCCCTTCAGCAGCAGACACCAACATTTTGATCCGAGAATCTACATTACCAAGCGCATCAATGGCGCCAACAACAACACCGTCTGCTTCCAAGCGCTTTGCCAGTATCACACTTTCCCGCATTATTTGAAATTCATCATCGGTGTAATAAAAATTGCCTCCCCTACAGCGTATAATAACCATTACCACAACATTTCTAGAGTGGCAGTACTCCACTGTCTTCTGGATCGTCTCTGCGGACGGGGTGACACCACCAACATCTAGGCAGGCACAAAGTTCAACACGCTGTACCCCTGCAGCCACGGCGTCTGGGATCCGCTCATAGCCCTCTGCGCAGAACTCCCTTAAAACCATTGATGAACTCCTTTCACACAAGAAACACAACGACAATATCACAACAACACCAATAAGACAAACATACAGACAAACAAACAAACAAACATGCACACAAATAAAATATTTTAAAAAGCAAAGAAACAATTTTAACCCTTCTCTCCGCCTCCACCAGGTGCACTAGTGTTGCTCCCATATTACTACCATTAGTAACAGCTGAAGCGTCACAACACTACTTTCTTCGACTCCTTGTTACTAAGAGTAGTTACCACTACATTTTCTTGGCATACCAACCCTTTTTTTCGTCATTATATAATTCCGTGAAGACGTTGTTGTTCCTTTGCATTGGAGGCGCATCATTTGCCGTAGAAGTAGTTACACCCCACGTGGTATGGGGCACCTCATCTGTAACTGGAGCCGCTGTCGCGTATTGTGCAGATGGGGCGGGAGCCCCTGTTGACCAGCCTTCATCAAGCAAAGCATTGGATGTAGCAGAGTGATCTCCAGTTTTTTCTGCTTCAAGATTTGTATCGAGTTGAGAACGCAAAAACGGAAAATACTGATTACCCTCTAAGGGATCAACTGGAGCAGAAGGAGCCTGCCGTTCTGATGTGGGCGCACCCGCGCCCACAAAGAGGTCGTCCATAGAAAAAAGGGTTTGTTGTTTTGCACCCCCATCCGCTGCAGCTGCTGGAGCGGATGGTAAAGAAGAGGATTCGTTACCTGGCAATGGCTGCGTTGTTTCTGTAGGTGGTAGTGTCGGTGGTGGTTTTTCAACCGTCTCGTTCGCTGGAGTCGTTACTCCACTTCCGCATATTCCCAAGCTCCTCAGTGATTGGGTAATGTTTTGCATGGGAATTTTATCCAGGCGAACACAATTCTCCAGCTGCTCCGCGAAATAAGCTGGCAAAGGCTTTAGCCGCGGTGGAGGCTTCACGAAGACCCTGTATGAGTCGAGGATGGAGTCAAACAGCAGACGCAGTCTTTCCACAGTCACGCTGTAGCTTCGGTAAAGCTCTAGCCAAACGGATTTTAATGCAACGGAAAAGTCACTGAAGCCGTCAAGTATAAAGATCACTCGATTAGAAAGCAGTTGGTAGAATATTTTCCCGTCGTCTACGATTTTTTGGTACGCTTCTAGGGTACAAAAGTTGTTCACGATTTCTTCTCGGTACTCGACATTAACGAGGGCGATCAGGTTCGCCAACAACGCCTTGAAACATACTTGTAGGGAACCCACATCCATCGAACGCAAGACCGAACTGAATTCCACACTCTCCAAACGATTTTCAAGACCAATTACACCTTGCAACACCGCACGCTCTTCAAGATAGCTCAAGTACTGTTGAATGAAGAGGGACTGCGCTGCACCTCCCGCACTTTTAGTGAAATCCTTCAGATTATGAAAACAAAATAAATTTGGATTCTGCTGTATGCAGAAAATAATCTCACTCGACCCATCTGACATTAAACGGTGAAATGTCACCAAAGTTTTGAGCACCACAATCCAATTGTGCGTGTGCATTCGTTTTTCAAGTTCCGAAACAATATACCTACAAATGCTTTTCCCATCACGAGTATTGCTTTTATAATGCCCATACGTCGTGGCCAAGAGCCTTTGCATGTGCTTCTCTTTTGGTGCCTTTAACATATGGCTTGTCACCTTCATGATTGCCCTATCCAACTCATCTCCTGTCACACGAGTCAATCCAATAATAGCCTTTTCTTTCAGGTAACCTGCACCTCTTGTCAATTCATCAACATCTCTCTCGGTCATGGCTCCAGATCCTATCCTGCACAAGAGAGGAGAAAAAGAAAAGAAAAAAAAGCAAAAAAAAAAAGCGTCTGCATGCTGTCTGTGCTTGGATTTCCCACCCAGGCGAGTAATAAAAAAGGGGAATTGCCCTTGTTTTCTGTCTTCCTTTCAACAACCTCTTTTTTTTCTTTTTTTGCTTGGCGGTGGTGAGAACTTTTAAAGGAAATAGTTCATAAAGAACGTGCCAGGGAAACACATCTTTACGGCCCCTGGAAGAAACCCACACCACCGCTCAAAGCGCCCTAGGTAAACATACCGTTTTTGCCTCGAGTGGGGACTTTTGAATCCTGTTTTTGAACGCGAGAAAAGCTTTTGAATGTGAAGAGGAATTTGGTCGCTCCTGATTGGTTGCGGCGAAACGGAGTTCGGCGTGCAGTAATTCAATCGTTTGCTTGGCTTCAAGCAATTCCAGCCGGAGAGCATTGAGATGGTCCTCTGTCGCTTGCAGTTGCTTTCGAAGGACTCCATTCTCATCTTTAAGCGCGACCCGCCGCCGTTTACTCTCAATAAGCAGTTGCTTCATACTTTCAACACTCGCAGCTTCCTCCTCAAGAGTTTTTTTTAGTCGCAAATTCGCCTCGGCCATCTCTTTTCGCTCCCTCTCCTGCTCTAGCTGCAGGGCGCCCAGCGTTTCGGCAGCCACAGCCTCACCCGATCTCACAGCTTCCCGCAGCTTGCGTTCCAGCTCGTTCAACTTCAACGCACTGCTGAGGGAGGCATCGACTGCGTTCTGTTTTTCTTTTAATATCTCGCCACTGAGCACCTCCTTCTGGCTCTCTAAGGTGGAAATTATGGACTTCAAATTTGCTATCTCCGCATCCTTTTTGCGTTGCTCGTCGTCCCAAAACTGCAGCTGCAGTTTGAAGCTTTCCTTTAGTGAGTCGACAAGTTCACTTTGGGCGCCTTCGTTCCAAGCAGCTTTGGCCCTCGTCACGGATTCTGACGGAAGAGACGATACCGGTTTGGTGTGCAACTCCTCCGACGCCTGCACAAGAGACCGCAACGTTTCTACGAGTTGCTGTGATAAAACATTCACCTTTTCAAGTGAATGTTGTGTGGCGTCCCAGGCATCTCGAATGGCATGAACAGAAACCGCAAAAGCGTCCTCGAACTTTTCACATCTGTCGGGATGCACCGCGGAGTCGACATGTTTGCGTTCGCGTTCAAATTTCTTCATCGCCTGTAACCGTTCCCGCTCCACAGTAGGAGGTTTGTAAGGGACTCCCGGGTTCGTCATGTGTGCAAGTGAATCTATACCATCGTTTAAGGATGTCTCTATCCGATCCTCCATCTCCCACAATGAAACATTCACTTCTAAAAGCCATTGTCGATACAGCGTCAGCAAAGAAACTGCCTCCTGCAGAATCACCTTTTGAGGGACGTCGACTGAATGATCAGACAACTGTTGCATCTTTTCACGTGAGGAAGATAACTCCGTTTGGTATTGAGCTACCTGTTCTTGAAAACAAAAAATTTCGGCTGAGGCCTTAGCGTACTTCGCCTGTATTTCTTCCAGCTCAGATGCCATAAAGTTGTCAGTTTTTACCATTTGGTTTAGCCGTTCAATTTCGCTTTCGTACTCCCTGTTCCGATAACTTAGCCCATGAACAGCCTCATCTTTGCGCTGAAGCTCCTCAACTAAGGCAGTCAACCTCCCATCCACCTGACCCTTTACACTGCGCAAAAGATCTGAGAGACGTTTACGCTCAGCAAGAGACGCCGCAAGCTCCTCCTTCAAGGAGGCTTGACCGGACTGTAAACGTGCTATTTGCATTTCATGCGCATGTCCCTGGTCCTGAAGCAGGCGCTTGGTTTCTTCCAGGTCCTCATTTAAGCGGGCCACCTCCACGGTGCGCACTTCTACAACGGAGCAAAGGCGTTCATTCTCTTCCTTTACAATCGCCAAGATTTCCTTCGTAACCGCCAAGTCCTGACGAAGGTGTGCTATTTCGCGCTGTGAAGAAAATTCGATTTTCCCGCTAGCTAGAGCTGAGGACATTCCACCGACTAATTTCAGAGGGGAGGGGGGGGGGGATAACAGCCACCATAAAGGCATGGGACGGGACGTAACCGGAATGGGCATAATGTTGACGAGCAATAAATAAATGTAAAATAAACAAAAAAACAAAAACAATCTTTTACAAACGTAAAACAAAACAAAACAAAACACACACACACACACACACACACACATACACACACACACACACACATGGTGTTATTCCATTTCTCAAATGACTGGTGGCCAAGGCAAGAAAGAAGAAAAACAAAAACCCAAGAAGAATTTTGGATCACAACTCAATTTCCCTCCGTTTTTCCCTTCTGTTTATTTCCTCAATGTAACACTAAATGCTGATATTTATAATGCCGGAGCGGGGGACGTACAAAATACGGTCGGTACCGTATCCCTCAATTGACACAACAGAAATATCACCCCCCATTACTTTGGCCGCACAATATGCATATGGCATTCTAATAGGACTGTGAATCCACGTTTTAGCCGCCTTTTTCTCATTATCAGTGGCCTTGAATGATGACCAGTACTT